TCAATCAAATCAAAGCTTGTTTAGTAACGGACTCCCATACATACCCTATAGAATACATGTTGCAATTACTTTGTGGAATAACTTATACGCTTCAGAAGACCTCATGGAATACTTTATACAACTCACGCCATATACCCTGTATATCTATTCGTAGAATACCATCTGGAATACGATGTAGAAAACCTTAGCGGAGACCCCTTCTATATGACCGCCCCGATATGATTATACAGGCTTTATAGAATACCCTATAGAGCAGCCTATAGATAAAGCTTTATGCAGGGAATATCCGGAGGAGCCCACGACCTGAGAACACCGCAGTTAAATTGCAACTGAGTTTCAAAAACGGAAATCAGGAACGTAGAAGAATCGATTATAAAACACCCTATAGCATACCCGCTCTATATATCGTAAACAGATTCATATAGAATACCTTGCAGATACCTTGCAGATACTTTATAGCATACACCGTATATACCACCTGTAGCCTCCCAAATACCAAGGAGCCCAAGATCTGAGAATTCCCTTGTTGATTCAATCAAACCAAAGCTTATTTAGTAACGGACTGTTGTCGAGAATACCTGAATGTCTTATAGAAGTCCCCCTATACATACTCTAAAGAATACATGTTACAATTACCTTGTGGAAATAAGCTATAGAATACGCTTCAGAAGACCTTATGGAATACTTTATACAACTCCCACCATATACCCGGTATATACTTTGTATAATACCATCTGGAATACGATGTAGAACACCTTATCGGAGACCCCCTATAATATGACCGCCCCGATATGATTGTAAAGGCTTTATAGAATACCCTATAGAGCAGCCTATAGATAAAGCTCTATGCAGGGAATATCAGGAAGACAGCAAGCTCTGGGAATTTCACAATTGTTAGGTAGCTTATATACTGAGTCACGGATTTCATGACGGAAATCAGGAACGTAAAAGAGGATAGCCTATACAACACCCTGTAGCATACCCCCTTTTTGTACCGTGAACAGTTTCATATAGAATGCCCTGCAGAATGCCTCATAGAATACCATCTATGTAAATTATGAATACTGTTTTGGATACCTTATAGCTTCTTGCTTTAGATACAACCACGAACAAGTCGATCGCAGCAAATTTTGACTAACAATGTGTTGGCAAAATTTGCTGCGATTGGCAAACTAACTCCTGATTCAAATACAAACACGAACAAGTCAATCGCAGCAAATTTTGCCCAAGAATCGGTTGGCAAAATTTGCTCCGAGTGGCTGTTTCCGGATTTAGATATAACTAACCGCGTCAATCGCAGCAAATTTTGCCCTAGAGCCCGGTTGGCAAAATTTGCTGCGATTGGCTGTTTCCTGCTTCAAACACAACCACGAACAAGTCAATCACAGCAAATTCTGCCCAAGAATCGGTTGGCAGAATTTGCTGCGATTGGCTGTTTCCTGATTTAGATACAACCACGAACAAGTCGATCGCAGCAAATTTTGAATAACAATAGGTTGGCAAAATTTGCTGCGATTGGCTGTTTCCTGCTTCAAACACAACCACGAACAAGTCAATCGCAGCAAATTCTGCCCAAGAATCGGTTGGCAAAATTTGCTGCGATTAGCTGTTTCCTGATTCAGATACAACCACGAACAAGTCGATCGCAGCAAATTCTGCCCAAGAATCGGTTGGCAAAATTTGCTGCGATTGGCTGTTTCCTGATTCAGATATAACCACGAACAAGTCGATCGCAGCAGTTTTTGACAGTTTTTGACTAACAATGAATTGGCAAATAATTCAATAATAATATAAATCCTGGGGCATCTCCTGAACATTTTTACCATCCTCCTATCCTCGATAGCATCCTTCTTTTTCTCATCTTTATCATCTCCCTTATCATCTTTATCATCTTAGGGTTTGCAGGGTTTAAGGGGTTTTCAGCTAAGAGTCTTTCCGAGGTTATCCGAATGCACGCAGCTAAACCATATAGGGGAGGGTAGGGCAGGTAGTAGGGTGGGGAGCGGGCAGGGGTCAAGGGGGGCGGGGGGGCCAAGGGGTGGCAAGGATTCGGGAGCAGGGACAGGGCAGAGGGCAGGGGCAGGGTGAGGCCGGGGCCGGAGGCTGGGGGCAGGGATTTAAATTTCTAAAAATCTTTAAAGCCATACAAAACTAAATGAGCCGACTTTTTTGTTTTAAAGATTTTTACAAACTTAACTTCCCCTGCTGGGCACTAAATTCTGTAAACAACTAAATGGGCAGATTTTTAAGATTTTACAGATTTTTGAATATTTAAATGCTCCCGGCTGACCGCTAGCCCAGGGCAGGGGGGATTTAAATTGTTAAAAATTAAAATCCTTAAAATCTGTAAACAACCTGATAGGAGCCAGGAACCCGAATGCAGTTGCGCGCGCGATAGCAGCAGGATTATGAGTTCTAGGTTTCGCGACCAGGACCCCCTCCATCCCCGTGAGTGTTGACACTTTTGGAACGCGAGGTCCAAAAAGTGACGACAGTCCTGCGCTTCGCGACGATTTTCGGCTCCCAGCCAAATCCGACACTCGCGGACGCTTGCGAACGCTTGCGGACGCTGCGCACGCATTCCGCGTCAAGTCCTAACCCCCAGACCCCCGACCTTCAAACGAGAACCCTTCTGCTACGCATTGGTCTTGTCCTCGGCGATCAGCACAGGCCAGGTCTCGGTGCGCAGCCTGGCCAAATTCGGCGCCAGAGTATCGCCGCCCTCGACTGCGTCCTTGCGCCGTGGCAGCCGACCGTGGCTAATCACAAAAGCATGTATTTTTCCACACGACTTTCGTAAGGCAGCCGACACCATGGCATTTGAACTTCTGGCCTTCGTAGCCTTTAGGATTTAGAGATGAGATTGAAGACCCTGGCCAGACGTCGTCCTGCCTTCTGTTGTCGCCGGGCGTCGCCTTGCACTGGCTAGGAGTGCGACAATACCTGACCGAGTCATCTACTACTACTATACTGAGTATACTGCTACATGCCATGCATAAACTGAGGTGCGCAACGTCGCTGGGGGTTGGGTGGGGTGAGTGCCGAGAGGGTGGGGCTGAGCAGGAGCATTGTTGCAGGCTATGCGGAAAAGAGGCTGGAAGGTCAACGACTGGAGGGTGGAGGGCCCGGGTGACTAATACTCCTGACGCTGCTTCCAAGTGGAGAGATGTAAAGGGTGGAGGTGAGGGCTAAAGGGCTTCCAGAAAGACGCCAGCTTCCACGGTGTTTTCAGACGTCCGTGTAGAACTGCCTCTCTCGCCGTGAGCGCGCCATCGAAGTGTGGAATGACAGCCTTGTTGTCCTTCGGGCTCCACCCACCGGGCACCTTGTAAGCTGAGCCTGAACGCAGTTGCTGCGCCATCTTGCATATGTATAACAAAGAAGTATAATAGATAAGTATCTCCATATCGACCACAGTAACTCCACGCGTAGCAATTGGAAAGCATGTCGTCAGACATACTCCTGACTGTGTGTCTGCAAGTTTGTTGCCAGCTGCAGAAGCTTCCGTGCGCATCCGAATAACACGGATGCACCATTCTTCGCGCCTGGACCGAAGGGTATGAGTTCAAAGGCCATCGTGCGAAACCCTTCATGTCCGGAGACAGCCAGGTAGCTCAAGACCTCTTTGACGGCTAGTTGTCCCAAGCCATCATTACGTCACGCAGCTTTGACGCGAAGTGTGCTAAACTGAGGTTGGCAACGGTCAGGGTTGGAACCGAAGCATGCCACGCCTTCAGAATCAAAAGCTTGTCTGGTTAGACAGCAGAAACCTGTCGAGAAGGTCACACTGCTAAAGAACATCAAGACATGATTACCAGACAACTGTGCATACGACGTTGAAAAACTTGATAACTGCCATGTGCACCATCGAGGTGTGGAATGATGGCCTTGTCCCTCGGGCTCCACTCAGCGGGCACCTTGTAGGTCCCTGAGCCCGAGCGCGATTGTTCAACCAACCTGCAATATGTACTACCGTAGCAAAGAAATATCTCTATATTAAAGCATTTCGTCACATACTCCAGGATGCGGGGCTGCAATTTGTCGCCAGCTGCAGAAGCTGCCGTGTGCATCAAAAGCACACGGATACACCATTCTTCGCACCTGGTCCGAAGGGTATGAGTTCAAAGACCATCGTGCGAAACCCTTCATGTCCGGAGACAGCCAGGTAGCTCAAGACATCTTTGACGGCTAGTTTTCCCAAGCCATCAATGTCATGCATCTTTGACACGAAATTCGCTGAGCTGAGGTTGAACACAACAGCCAGGGTTGGAACCGAAGCATGCCACGCCTTCAGAATCAAGAGCTTGTCTGGCTAAAAAGCAGAAACCTGTCAAGAAGGTCACACTGCAAAAACACTTCAAGACATGATTACGCACAGCTGTGTGTACCCCATTGCAAACTTGATAACTGCCCTGGCTTGTTCTGAGCTTGAGTCGTAGTGTGTCAGACCATCGGTTGCGCAGATACGATTCCACGGGAGCCCATCGACGCCTCCAGCGCCAAGCCAGGTGTATAGCCGCAGTTGCCACATCTTGTCTTGGTCCATGGCATCGCCCGGCATCCAAACATGCCTCTGCCCGCTGGCCTTCTGGTGTCGCAGACCAGCAGATCACAGGACATAACACTGTTGAAGACAAGTCGCTCCCTCGTGAAGCCAGTCGAAGCATGAGCCCCCGGATGGATGCTGATAGAAATGTAATGGGCTTGTCAAAGCAGCATGTCCCTTTTGCTCACAACGATCAGTCATGGCTCGGCTCCAAAGGAAGAGTCCTGCACTTTACACGCCCCGATGGGCTCAAAGGAATTCTACTTGCAACTACGGACCTCGAGGCTAAACGCCAAGGTTGCAGGGCCAGCACGAGAATGGCAGCAAAAACACTCGAAGATGCTTGGATCTGCTGCACGTGGACCTGAGGAGAGACTGGCAGGGGTTTCTACCTTTCAACTCGGGTTGCTTGTGCTGTCGCTCTGCGAAATGGCTGGGAATTGCGAACAGATCGTCAAGAGTCGTTACGACTGTGCCTCTGATCTTCAGTAGCACATGATCTTTGTTGGTGTATCTCCAAGGCCTGCTCTATCATCCAGATGCCTTCGGCAGCGAGACGACGAAGGGGCTGACGGTCTATGATGCCTTTCGTCAAACCATCCGCGAGCATTGACCGTGTGTCACACCAGACATATCTGTCCACAAATGTTCGGATGATCTCGCGCAGCTTATGCAAATGAAGTGCCACAAGCTGGTCGCCACACTTAGGCTCATCAGACGCTGCACTCTGCCACACGGATCTGGCATCGATGACAGCATCCAACAGAAGACTGTGGTTTCCGCTCTCCTGCATTTCCACAAGCTGCGCCGCCGTTTTCGGACCTTGAAGCACCTCAGTAATGGCAGCGTTTATCACACATGCCACTCCGAGCAAGTCAAGACTGCTGTATAACTCGGCAGCGAAAGTGCTGCGCCAAACTTTGCTTTGTTTCTTTGTGGTGAACTCAAGCACTTGAAGCCTGTTCTTACCCTGCTGCACACCAGCACGCGAAGTGAGAGCCACTATCCCGCTCCTCACAGCAAGACTGTCTTGGTCTTCTCCCTTGAAAGAACTATCTGATATTGCAACGACCCTCCAAAGACTATCAACCTTATGGTAAACCATATCTAAGGGCTTTGTCTTAAGGTACTTCAAAACTCTATTCAGATTGAGTAGATCTTGGATTTTGGGTTCCTTCAGACGCCTTTGCAGCGCCGCAACGAAGACAGCAACGTCAGGGCGGGTCTGCACGACCCACGCCACTCCGCCTAGAAGCGACATGAACAAATGCTTCATGTCTTCGGATGCGACTTCCGAAAGACTGCGAAGTTTCAGCTCTGCCTCCGGGATCGGACGCAGTTCCTGCACGTAGTGCTGCTGACTCACACTGCGCGAACCGTCATCATGCAAACTGTGCTTAAGCCCCAAATGCTCAAAGTTATCATATTCAACCTTTAGCGCATAAAAACTCACTTTCAAGAATCTTGATGCAACCACGAATTTGTTCCCGCAAACCTGTTAACTTTAAATCGTCAACATGAACCGACACAAGAAGTATAAGCTTCCCTGCTTCGTGCTTCACATACAGCTGAGGATCAACCTGTGTGCTTACTAAACCAACTTTCTGAAGAACCCCTTTAAGTGCCAGATTCCAGAGACGGGGTGCATCCTTTAGCCCGAAGCCGGGCTTGAGCATATGAAGGACCTCTTTCTGGCTATCAAAATCCTCCATACCGGGCAAAGTGCGTATGAGTTCCTCACTGCCGGGAGGCAGCAACAACTGCACCTCACGCAACACTTGATCGGCTCCCGCATCAAAGAGTTCTTTGAAGGTTAGGCCTCCGAAACATCGGCTGATACCAGTTGCCAGCCGAATTGCACAGCACACACGAGGACAAGTCTTTGTCCCCAACGCGTAGTGGTGGAAGCAAAGCTTTTGACTACTTGATTGCCCCTAAAACCCTGAACGACGAGTCGCGCCTTCACGGTGCGAACTCCACCGATCGGCTTCCACTTGAGCACCCACTTGGACGCTAACGCATTGTGCGCGCCGCTACGAGGACCGCGGCGCCACGCTTGGTGGACATTCCACCTCGTTAGCTCTTTAACCATGGCCTCTCTGCACGATTCCACATTTTGCAATGCTTTTTGCCTCGTCAAGATATTGTGCACGCGCTCATGACAGCATGAGGCTTTTCACCCAATGTGAAAATCAAAGTTTCGTGAGGCTGCGGTAAAACTGCAACTCCTTGTAACAAAGGTGCGCTGGTGAAGCTAAACTCAAGTTCGGGCGGTTCACTTAAAACGTCACTGATTGCAAACACAAAGCATGGCTCCCACGGCGCATCAGCTGAGACGACGGGGGGTTGACTGCTAAATGCTGAAAACATGGATTCAAAGTCTGACTCATCACCAGTGTCTTCGGCAGTTCGCTCACTGTCTGGCGTAGCGATGTCGAAAACTTCCGGTTCAAGCGAGCTTGCCGCCTGATCTTCAATGGCCAACTGATGCTGACGCTGACGCAGTCTGACCTCGGTGGTCAGATCCCTCAGTCTTGGGAGAGCAGGATCATGTATCCCTCCCAGGTTCGGGACATCATGCACGACTTGCCGTATCTCGGCAATAGCTGCATCGTCTTCCATGAAGAATTGGACAAAAAATATGTCGTGTTCTCGATGACCGCAAAGTCTACTGATGTTGATGTGCTGTGTTCCAGGGATGTGCGCATGGTTCCACTCCGATATCATTCCCGGATTCCACCACAGCAAAAAACTTTCATCAGAACTGACCCCGGGCAGGGCACTCACACTCCTACCAAAACGAAGAGAGACTACACCCTTGAGGTGCAAATTGCATGCGGCCACGTGTAGGCCTGACAGCAACTCACGTGGATACCTACCGTTAGCTTCGAATGGTCTCCAAACGCCACTATTCTTAAACCAACCTAACCTAACGACGACACCCACGTGACACTCCGCTGCGTCTCTCAACACTGCGACCGGAGAGTTGCAAGGTATAGTTTCTAGAAGAAATACATACGTCAACGCACGACGCACATCCTGAAGCCTGCAAATCAAGGGCCTGCCCTGCCATCGGATGGTGATCTGTCCTGTTTTAAGACTTGTTACGTCCGTAACCACGGCTGGACCTTGCCAGCACTCGAGATCTTTAGAACTAGCCCGTCTCCAGAAATCAACCAAATCCCCGGCTTCCAAACCAAGAAGTTCACCTGCACGACGCGTTTTGGTGGCATTCGCTCGTCGTGCTTTCATCTCAGCACTTGCCTGAGTCATTGACTGAATTGCTAAATGCCGGAGTCGATCGGCATCACGATCATCGATAAAGTCCGGACTTTCATGGGTTACTACGGTTATCAACGGCGGAGTCCGTCCGAAAACGGCTTCATAAGGAGAGGCTCCGCCCATGTTAAATAAGATGTTCTTGGCAAAGACGGCCTCTGCCAACAGAGCGCCGAAAGACACCCGCAGTCCCTCATTGGTTGCATTGGTATCAAGAAGATGGATTTGGCGCCTGAGTACCTCATTATGCCGCTCGGCCATGTCGGCATGCTGGTTCTTTGCACGCAACTCAAGAGCTACACCCCTGGCTTCTAGCCAAGCAGCAGCTTCAGGGCCGCTTAAACCCCCTTCTTGATCTATGATAATCACCCGCGGCGGTCCAAACATCTTAAACCAAGTCCTTTGCAAAGTGGAAAGAAGCTCATCGGTGTTCCGATTTGCCACTTCTTCCGCCCTGGTGAAGCGAGTACAAACGTCCAACACGTGCAACACAACTTTGTTCTTGATAAACAGGAGGTCTATCTGCAACGTTTGGTTAAAGCGCGTTGGAAGCGAACTTGTGGTCACGGTTCTGGGTGACGGTGAAGACCAGGTTCGGCACACTGAGCATGTGTCCACTACCTGTCGTGCCAACTTAACTACGTCTGCAGGTATTCGAGCCCCTTGAAGCAGCGACTCCATTCTAGCCGTAGGCGCATGAAACCATCGCAAATGCAGCCTATGCAGTGCTCGACGCACTACTCCGGGCTGGCTATAGCACGCAACTCCTGCAATGCACGCCCGACATCAAACCTTGACCAAACCTCATCTGTACCCGTGTCATCGCCAGGAGCCTCGGCATTGCCGACTCCCCCACCGTCGGGCTCAGGAGGATCCCTTATTATTCGCGCAGCTGCCCCATCACCATCTACGCCTAAACCACCATCACTAGCTTGAGCAGCCGCGTTACGCCGACCAGGACCGGCAGGTCCAGGCCTCGATGGTGCAGATCTGGGTCTGAGTGGCTCGCTTGATACGGATTCTGCTGCGTGAGGTCTGGATTCACGAGAAGAAGAAGAAGCTGCATTTCCACCTGTTGGGTCCAGATCTGCAATCCTACTGTCGGCGGTCTCCTCCGCCGAGGCCGGAACTCGACCGTCACGTGGATGTGCTCCCCTACGCTCGCGCGACAAACCTTCTGGCAAGCGATTGGCAACAGTCCATCTGCACGTGTGATCGAGCAAATGTTTCGGATGTGTTCTGGGCATGTGGTGCTTGCACGCGGGACAAGACCATTCAAACGGCTCCACATCGGGATATTTACATGTGGCGTCACGGGTGTGTGTAGGATCGTCCTTCCGACGGTGACGCTTACAACCTACACACCTGCTTACTGCTCATGAGGCGTGCCCGTCTGGTTCCGACGAGTCCGTCCTGCACGTGTTCGTGAACCACATCTGCTACGCCGGCTGCCACTAAACGGCAAAGAAGGACTGGCCACGCATGTACTTCAGAACAAGTTTCAAAGTCAGAGTGCTGACGAGAGCCGTCGCACCGAAAGTACTGGAGCAGGTGTGTGAATCTGGAATCAGACGCCCACAACATCGTAGGCTTCCTAGTGGAGAAAAAGGAGGTCTCTTTGCACACAGTCCGGTCATACGACACTGACGCAAAGGATATTCCCGACATAGACGCTGAAACTCAGCAAGATGATACAGTGGACTGTCCACGGGCTGTTCAATCAGGAAGTGATGTTGCTGAGAGCACTGCGACCGAGCGACTTCGATACACAGACTTGCAAACCTTGCTCCGTCGTTCCTAGCAAGGTTACAATTTGGAGTCATAATCACGACCAGCGGCTTATTATTAGCTACATACTGAAGCATTTGGCTGACGTTCGCCCCGTTCATAATATCAAAGCCCGCGCTCAAATCGAAGTTGTCCCCAGTATTCAAATTATGCAGTTTTGACACCGTGTGCACTAGGTTACCATGTCCGCTGAAGACTTTCGCAACTGCAATGGCAGGGCTAAGGCGAGCATGAAACGCACTCAAGGCATCAAGAGAAAGCACTGGTCGTGCACTCAATCTGGGCATGAAGCCATTGGAATTCGACCCGTGCAACCACCGACCACGACCGTAAGCAAAGTCTGACAACCCACTGAAGATTGTGGAGTTCTCATCGCAAAGTTCGGTTACACTCCCTAAACCCATAAGCTCAGGGGACCATAAGGTTGTTTCCGTTACGGCTAAAATGCTGTCTGATGAGTCTCCACAATCATCCGCGTGTTGCTCGACTATGCGCTTCTTTTTGATAGGTGTATGGCCGGCTGACAGTACGGCTTTACGATTGATGGCCTGTTGGGTCGGAAAGGAATCAACGCAATGATTTATGTCTTGTTGAAAAGTCACAGTCTTCATTTCCTTGAGTTCATGTTGACTGGTACCAACCGGAAAGCGCAATCTAGAGAGATCTCGAAAGTCGTCATCAGTCATATGCAGGATCCCTCTACTGGAATAGGCATTTATTGTCCACCGATCACCTGACCAAGCCATAGGTTGGTGAAAGAGGTCAGGTGAAAACTTAAGAATGCGGTGTCGGCAGTCATGCATTATTCCAGGCATGCGCTGACCTTTAATGTCCAGCCACTTCGCTCCTGGAGCATCGGCATCAGAAGCACCAACCTGAATCCACAAACCTCCTGACTCATAGTCGCCTAATCCAACGACTATGTTACAAGACCCTTTCAGGTTATTGACGTCTCGAATTGTGATTCAGAGATATGGAGGACCAACGCAACTCACGGTCACGATGCAGCAAGCAGCAATTGATGTAGCGAACTAACTCGGCATGCTGCTCAGTTGCCTTTGTCACTCCAACAAAAGTACCGTAGCTGTAAACTCCGAAAACATAACAGCTAGCACGTCCATCTACCGTCACAACTGCGTCACGAGGGTCATGAGTGAGCTTAAACGGGGTACTGCTGAGCACCCGATAACAACTAACCCAAGAAAAATCCTGACGGAGTCAAAGTCACGTGCCATGGATTCGGACTGCTCTAGAGTACCCAATAGACCAAAGAAGCCAGAAAATTGCCTTCGAAGCCAAGGCTAAAAATTTTGACTTTGCCTGTTTTCGCTATCCCTTCGAAGTCAAATTGCAAAGCTGAAATTTTAGCTTCGAAGTAAAAGTTTGGTTTGCCTTCGTG